TGTAGTTTAATTTTCAGTTTTTCATTAGTTTCGTTTAGATGTCATCTTGGGAAAGTCTGTCTTCTAAGACACCATTGTAAACAATTAAATGAGGGAGGTGTCCGTTCACAAGCAGTGCGCACTGGTTCGACAATGACTCGACGATCGATTCTTTTGAGTCTGTTCATCTAACGGGTACCCAGCTGTAGAGAGGTCAGAAAATCGTGGCGCAACTTGTCCCGAAATATCTTTTTAACAGTTGAATCATTGTCACCCATACATGTACTTTGCACAGCAGTTTGTATTAATTTGTTTTAACTTTATCATATTATTTTCCACAACATTTGAGGCTAGATTAAAAACTTTTCTTCATTGATTTATCTGTCCCCGTAGAAATTTGCAAATTTAGATGGCCGAATTATGCACCAAAAAAAAGCAAAATTATGCAAAAATTATGCAAGTTACCGTAACACCGTTCGCGACATGTTTTGCACTTTTTCAAAACGAATTTTCCTGATTTTCATGTTTTATGCACAGAAAAATAGAAAACAGAACATATCAGTATCAGTAATTTGTTGTGTATGTGGAAAGAAAACAATACCCATCACTCAGAAAAAACAACCACCAAAAATTATAATCTCTGTAACTTTCAAACTTTTTCCGTGGGTGGTTGGCGGATGCTCTGGTGTGGTTTGCTCCTTCTTTTCTATCATACATCTGTCATCCTTTTCTCCCATTATTCTTCTTTATGTTTGTTACTCTCTTGTAACACCTCTAATCTTCTGGCGCTCATATGACCTTATGCAGTTGTGAGCGCCGTAAAACCTCTACTAAAACTAAAACTAACTTTTTCCAGCACGTAATGGCATTATTATATCAATATGCTTATCTCTACTCAAATAAACAGACTAATGTCCATTAACTATATATTATACAAACTTGTTAAACTTATATTTTTCATTTCCACCTAGATCTGGGGTGATGCTGCCACTCAGATTTTCTATTCTCTGGGTATCGGATTCGGGGGGTTGCTCACCATGTCTTCCTACAACAAGTTCCACAACAAT